ACCTCTGAGTGAACTCCAGCTTCCAACCTTAGTTAGTAGCTGAGTGCATTAGCCGTTTGGATTTCTTAACCCCTCTGGTTGGAACATACTGTCAAGCTTTTGACCTTTCATCTTCTGCATTTGGCATAACCTGGCCCTGATTGTTAACAGACTGGGCAGCTTAGGAAGAGGTATGCAGTGGAGGTGTTCTTGGCTGACCCCTGGTAGCAAGTCCTGTGGCAGTAGGCCAGAGCCCCCTAGGTGCTGAATGGGAGTTGGGGTTTTGGGGTGACACGGTGATGGGGCAGACAGATCAAAGTCACACACACAATAGTGCATGCGGGCAGGAGGCTGGGCTGGGACACCATGTGAAACCCCGTGGTCAGCTGGCTCCTCTGAGAAGGCGAACTGAGGAAAAGTGGGAAGGGTGAGAAGGCTGCGTCCGGCAGGAGGTGTGATGTGAGTGTGTGCTGACCCTGAGCAAAGTTTGCTGTGCTTGTGATGAGGAGGGCCCTCTGGAAGCTCCAGGCAGAGCGGCGGGGTCCACCTGAGTCCACCACAGTAGCTGGGCTATGAGGAATGAACTGGGGTCTGGAGCAAGTGTTGGAGGCCAGGGGTACTATCACAGTCCCCAAGCCAGGAATGGAGGTGCAGATGAGGGGGATTCAAGAGGGACCTAAGGGTGGCAGGGGTACCCGTGGAAGAATCAGGGATAACGTCCATGTCCCTGGCCAGTAACTAGATGTGGTGTCTCTGAGCTGGAGGAGCGGGGGTCAGGGGGTAGACAGTGTGCACAGTGTCAAGAACACAGTGATGGGTGAGTCTTTCAGGATGGGGGTGCAGGGGTGTGTCCATCCGTAGTGGGGATGAGTTGGGGGTCATCTGGGTTATGTGGTGTTTATGTCCGTGGGGGGTGGCCACCCCTCAAGAGGGGAGTGACCAGAGGAGAGGAAGTCCTTCTCTGGGGACCAGCAACACCTGAGGGCAGCAAGGGGACCAGGAGGCGGAGGGAAGGCAGACAGGTCCCCAGGGTCAGGGATGCTGAGGGAAGGGAGTGAGGATCCAGGCAAGGATGCCTCCAGCTGGGGTGTGCCCTAAACACTGAGGGACAAGAGGCCCACTCTAAGTGACCCAGTAAAGACAGCAGCGCCTCTAGCAGAGGGTGGCAGGCCTCGGGCACTCTTGGCTTCCTTGAGGGGACGGTGGTGTGGCCTGGTTTGCATCACACATATGTGTGGAACAGGTGTGACTGGGTGGACGACCAGGCATGTGAGAACACAGTGCCCACTAAGACTGAGGAGTGAAGGCAGTGGTATGGGTGGTCTGTGGTGGACTGAGTGTCTGATCGAGGAGGAGGCCGAGCTCTGGGGTAACAAGAGGAGGATTAAGCAGGGGAACCCAGCTTGGCCTCTGTTTGAGTCATCATTGCTGAGTGTGGAGCCCAGATAGAAGGGCGAGGGCAGGCCATCACTCAGGGGTGCTGTTAGGTGTGGGGACAGTGCTGCTGCAGAAGCCATGGGAGTAAAGGACACAGAGCTGGGGGAGGTGACGAGGCTGAGCTCCCAGAGTGAGGAGCCTGGCACTGGGAAGGGGGAGCAGGAAGATTTGGTGGTGCAATGTGAGGCAGACAAGACGAGTGGGTGGTCAGATACGCAAGCCTGGCATGGCCAACACACAGCCTTGCTTATGGACTGTGGGTAGTCAGGTGAATGCTAAAGGGTGAACTTCTGGTATCCAGGTGGTCCCCAGTCCCAAATACTGAACCATCATCCACTTTTTTCCCCACCCACCTTCTGCAGCTGAACACCCCCTTCCTTGTAAGGTTCACTCCATGTGAGCCAGTGGTTCCCCACCCCACCAAGCAACCTAAGACCCCTCCCCACATCTGTCCCTGGGGAGACGGAGAACCAGTGATGAGAAAAAAAGAGACCCTGTTTAGACTTCTGAGTCTAGAAGCTTCCCTCTTGAGAGGGGAAGTTGATTCCTTCTTTAGTTTCAGCCAGTTTGGGTTGACTTTTTCTCTCTTGCAACAAAAAGAGTCTTGACCAATCCAGCGAGTCTCTTTCCCTAGTATCCCCACCAAGTGCAAGGGTAAATGATGAACATTGTAGAGGGAAACTTACGCCTACTTGTACGGATAACCTCAAACGTCCAGATGACCACAAATATCAAGCCCACGTCGTTCGGAGGATTGGGACTTTACTGTGTGATCATCCCTGTCAGCTTGAGGACTAAGGTGCGCCTGACCCAGGCCATTGTGTTTTCAATAGCCTCATATGGATGTGAAAGCTGGACAGTGAATAAGGAGGATCGTAGAATTGATGCCTTTGAGTTGTGGTGTTGGAGGAGAATACT